CAATAGCTTCAATTTGATATATAGCCGAACGTTCAGTGTTGAGTATTTCCGCTCATAACTCAGAAAAACTAAAATACACTGGCTTCAATTTCCCCCCCTGAGTTAGCCTTCCAGTTTATTTATAGTTCAATGGTCCAGTCCAGTCCGTGTTTTACAAATTCAGTCCGCGATTTGTAAAACACGGACTCAGTCCGCGTTTTCCCGGTCCAGTCCAGTCCAGTCCGGTCCAGTCCAGTCCAGTCCGTCTTTTACAACATGCCAAACATTTCTGTGCAAAATTCCTACTGTGATCCAGAAACTTTGAAAATGTAAAGTTAACCAGCCACAATTGTGAGTTGCAACTTTGTAGCAACTTGACAAAACAAACAGCATGGTTACAACTGCTTAACAACCTTGATACGAAGACTTCTTGTCAGGTTGTAAGATTCCTAAAAGTGTGGCATGCAACCTGCTTACAACTTGAGTTGTTCCGTGTAAATCAAGCACACAACTCCCCCACGTTGTCGTAAGTGAGTTGTGTGCTTGATTCAAGTTGTAATGCGACAGTTTCAGGCAAAAATTGTGTAGTGTAAATCGGCCTTTAGTGTACCTGACACCAAGGCGCATATATCAACACTTTAATTAACCCTCACCGCACACAACCACCCACAAAATATAAAGCGTGACGAGTATGCGTGACATTGATTTATTTCCGTCCTTGACTTGAAAAAAGCAGGCTTCAAACACGTCTTTGTTGCGAACTTCCGGCGAAGTCTTGTCTGGCAAGCAAGAAGCCTTTCAAGCAGAAAAAATTGATTAAAAATACAAAAACATCGCATTCATTTCTTCCAAGGAAGTATTTAGTTTTCTTTCAGCAATATGGCACCGACTAGAGCAAATGAGTTCTTCAGATGGGCTCTCTGGGTGAGTATATTTTCAAGTGCTGCATAAAATTTTAATTTTTGGTGTTTTCCTAATAGTCGTGTAAAATGATATTTGATATTGGCTTTGTATATTATATTGATATTGTAAATAGAGTTGAATCACTTTCAAATGCAGAACTAATTAAATTAAAGCAACCAAAGTTAGAGGATGGTTTGTGTATTGGAATTTCATTCGACATAATTTGCAACTCTATATTGTGATTGTAAGTAAATTGTAGTGCAAGATTATTTGCTAATTCTTATAACCAATTAATTTTTTTATATAAATTGAAGTGGCTGGTACTAGCAACCATCCTGGAGTTCAAAAATAGGCTCTTTATTTTGTATTATATGAATTAATGTTTTGACAGTTTGCCAGAGCAGAACATGCTCCAGCCTATAAAGGATTAGCATTTCTTAAATATTTTAACCCTGAATTCCAGAAGTTTCAATGATGATTGTAACATTTTGTAGTTATTATGGATGGCTGCCAATGGTATTGTATTTGGTCTAGCATATAAACGTTTTGACAGCAGTAAAGAGTATTATTATCTACGTGTTATTTTGAAGGTTGGTGCAAAAATTATTGCAGTTGTATATGTAATACAGTATTTGCTGTTTAGTAGCATAAGGGGAAAGTTAATAATAAAAGAAGTCGTTCTCTGACCCCAAAAAAATTATTTGACGAGCTTTCGGCCAGCCATTAATGTGGGTGTTAAACAGAGTGATATAATAAAGTATGGTGCATTTAGGCACATTGCAGCTTAATTTAAGTTGCAATATTGCCTGATGTCCCCTACTTTATTATTTTACTCTGTCTAACGACAGACAATTTTACTTTTCAAGGGGAAAATGCTGCAACTCAATGGGTTAATCATTATTATTACCCAACAATTCTGTTCTAGAGAAGTAAAAAACATTTTGATGTTAATCCCCCCCTGTAACTCAATTTACTTGATATAACAGATTGAGTAAATTGACTTACAGGGGGGGGATGCAGATTAATTTCATATTTTACATTCCAGAGTGCTCTACCATGGGCTAGAGCTTCGGCAGCAGTACTCAATTTTAATTGTATGCTCATTCTCTTGCCTGTTTGTCGAAATCTTCTGTCTGTTTTACGTGGTTTTAAGGTAAGTCCAGTGTAATCATTCATTTGTAATATTCTGACTTGTGAAGGGTGTAAACTGCATATTTTCATCTTTTTATAGTGTTTTGGTTTAACTAAAAGCCTTTTCCGACTCTTGGACAAGAACTTGACTTATCACCGTCATATTGCTTACACCATTTGTATTTTTTCTGGTAATGTAAATTACACTCTTTGCCAGTCTTGACTCTATGAAACACCACAGGCTTTCTCTGGGTCGACGAAAGGCCTACCAACGACACGTAATTATTCCTTTTTCCAGGCCTTTTTGGTAGTTCTCTGGCCTCTGAGGGGAACAGTTTAGAATTGTAGAGCTATCCAATTTTAATAAACTTAGTTTAGTTAGTCTCTGAGGCAATAAATGGGTTAAAATATTCTCTTATTATATAGCTATTCATATTGGTGCTCATGTGTTCAATTTTGAGAGATTTGTAGCAGCTTGGGAGGAGGATGATGAGTCTCTGCCGCATCAACTATCACTGTTTGAGGAAACACAGAGTACAACATTGCTAAATCCCATTCAACAGAAAGGAGTGGTAAGATTGACAACATGGGCACAGAATAAGGCACACAGAAGGTCGACTCGGGTAACTGATTCATCATCAAAATGCTGACGCCATGGTCCTAGCCAGTGCGCGTTTGAGTGGCATCCCCCCCTGGACATCCGTCATTTTGAATATCGGGGGTGAATGCCTCTCAAACGCGCACTGGCTAGGACCATGGCGTCAGCATTTTGATGATGAATCATTTGATTTGATGACGAATTACGGGTTACGCCAAAATCACAGGAAAAACCAAGAAGTCGGCTTCTGTGTACCCTATTCTGTGACATGGGTATTAATAATATGTATAGATTAGGGTATAGTAGGATAAGATAGGGTACTGGGATAGGATAGAGAGAGGTAGAGCAGCCTGAGCAGGCTATAATCAGGTATAATAGGATATGGTAGAGTAAGATAGAAAAGGATAGTGTTTGATAGATAGTAGAATTGTGTATGATAATTGATAGAATAGGATAGAGAGGGGTAAATTAGGATAAGATAGTTTAAAGTAGAGTAACATAGGATATTGTAGGGTAACATAGGATATTGTAGGGTAAAAGTAGGATAGAGATGGATATACCAGGGTGGAGTAGGATAGAGTAGAGCAAATAGAATAAGAGCAGGATAAGACATGTGGGATAAGATGAAGATTGATGTAGGATGAATGAGATGAAGTGAAAAATTAAGAAATCTTTATATTTCTTCTTAGGATCCTAACACAGAGTTGTTTAAAACAGGTAACCCAGTACTTGAACATTATCTAGAAGTAGTTCTAATACTTGGTCAGGTATCAATGCTGATCAATGACTATTGTTTTCTGATATGTTTAGTCGCTGGTATTTCAGGCGTTGTAATAACTCTGGCATTAATTCTTATGGTATGTTTTAGCTGTGTTATTGTCTTGTCCTTCAAACAAATTTCTAATCACCATATCAACCAAAGCCTAATACCATTCTGTGACATTGAAGAAATTTTTTGACCTGGCCATATTATAATGATATTTTTAACTATCCCTATATTCTTGCTCTTTTAGTTCACATCATCAACAGAACTTTTGAGGTAAGAAATCTCAATAACTTAAAAACCATTTATGAGGACTTTGCATTAAAATTTTCCATTCATCATTGTCTTTTCTAACTTGATCATTTTTCACAGACGTTCATATTTTGAAGTGTTTTGGTACACCCATCATTTGTTTATAATTTTCTTTGCTGGTCTGCTTGTACATGGCTTTGGGTGAGTGTTATATTTAAGTGTGGTGAAAAACTTAGTAGAAACTGTGATTTTGTGTGTGAAACGTTTAAAAAACTCCATACTTTGTTTAATAACTAGAGGTCTTGTGAGAAAACAAGTGAATGTTGATGAACACGACCCACTGGAATGCCAGGGTTTTGTCAACCCACAACAAGGATGTCCTCAGCCTCGTTTTGAAGCCACTGGGGCTGCGGTAATGCTAGTAGTAGTATTTAGTATTCATGTCAGATCTCAAAAGAAAATATTTCAAGTGTTAACAGTCTTAACAGATTTTTATTTTAAAATTGTATTACTAATTGATATATCGTTTATATTATATTATAGTCTAGTGTTATTATATTATCTTAATATTTTATTTACATCTTTTCTGAAATCCCGCCATTTCATGTATTTTATAGACCTGGAAATGGGTGATAACGCCATTAGCGTTATATTTCATTGAAAGATGCATCAGATATTTCAGATCATTGCAAAATGTCAAAGTAACAACGGTACAAACATTAATGCTATACGTTTTTTTGTCTGAGAACGGCCATCACTGGCCCTCAAGAGAGAATTGTTTAGAATTTTGAGTTTATTATAGGTTATTCAACATCCATCAAATGTTATTGAAATCAGAATGACGAAGTCTAGGTTTCATTCAGAAGCAGGCCAGGTAATTTTGATTCAACAGAGGTACAGTGAATTCTGAAAGCCTTTTAAAAGATAGCTGGATATAACTTGTAACAAAGTTGTACCTAGAATTTTTCAACCATGAAAGCATTATTTGTTTATAATAATAAAGTTTATCAAACTGTTTAAATTCTTAAATACTTCGTTAAAATTTTGAATGTGTTTTACATTCCAGTATATATTCCTACATTGTCCGAAGATTTCCAGTCTGGAGTGGCATCCCTTTACGCTAACTTCGGTAAGAAAAAAAAGGAATTAAAATTCCAACTTTTGCTTATGAAATTTAACATAACTTGAGTTTTGTGTATTTCTTAGTGTCCAGAGGAAGACTTCTTCAGTGTCCATATCAGAACCGCTGGTGATTGGACAGGTATGTTTTAAACGAAATTGTAGCCACAGTTAAATAAAGATTTTTGAAGCCTATATTTTCTGTGTCTTTTTGTTAGATGATCTTGCAAAACTATTCGTGGACGAAAACCAAGAACAACGTCAACAGACACCAAGGTACTAAAACGATACTTGTTGATCCTAAGGTAAATACAGATGCAAAAAAGATTATTACTAGGGGGCACTATCAAGAGAATCCATGCTCCCCCATACCATATTTATTACATCATTCCATAGTCTGATACATTTATACAGTATCGCACTATTAAGAAAGATGGATGTAGCGTTCTTTCTGTCGGTTAGAATTAGAATTTTTTTCTGAATTTTTCGTTGTATCTAAATTATTTTCTGGGAACTCAAAAAGATTTCTGGGACCAATGGCCACGTGGTCCGATGGAAATTGCTAGATAGTATACTTCAAAATAAGGTTTCCGTTTTTATATCAATTTTTTAAATAAGTTAGGGTTAGGTTAGGGTTAGGGTTATGGTTAGGTTAGGGTTGGGGTTAGCGTTAAGGTTAGTATTAAGGTTAGGGTTTAGTTTTGCGTTAGGATGGTTTTTTCTACGTTATAAAAACGGAAAACTTATTTTGAAGTATACTATCTAGCAATTACCGTGGTCCGATACTTTTCCCATCCCATATACTAACTGATGTATATATTTCAATAGGCTTGCAGTGGACGGCCCATTTGGAACTTCTAGCACCGTAAGATGATACATTTTATTTCTTCGAGATGTTTTTTTCTCTCGGTGCTTTTAAATTCTCATTGTTTTCCTCTGGAGCTCGTGTTCTTTTGAATAGTTGAAGTTTGCTGGTTTTTCTTTAGGATTTTCTGAAGTATTCTGTGTGTGTTTTTGTTGGAGCTGGAATTGGCGTAACGCCTTTTGCATCCATATTAAAGTCGATATGGTACCAACACAATAAATCAGGTTCATCTCTAAACATCAAGAAAGTCTATTTCTACTGGATATGTCGAGATACAAATGCATTTGAATGGTTTGCAGAGTTACTCACAAGTATGGAAGATCAGGTGAAGGAATACCTGCATATGATTTATTTTCATCTTTTAGTTTAACGTTTCCATTAATTTCGTAGAAACATTGGATATCCACGTACTACTTCTTGTCTATTTCCTAGATGGTTGAAAAAGGAAATGGCGATTTCTTAGAATACAATATGTACCTCACCCGAGGTTGGACAAATAACGAGGTGAATTAGTGCCTGCTTATTTTAACGAAATTTCAGTTTTATGACTACATCCAGGGACGTTGGGAAGTCCTTAACATTAGAGACCTTAAGATTGACGTTTACGGCAAACGTCAAACCGCTAGCGAGGTTTTTGATTTTACAACTCTATTATAATAGCTTTTACACCAGTTTTGACATATGTTAAACTTGTTAAACTTGTGCTCTATAGCAATGATTTAAGAAAGCAAATTAACCACTAGTCATGCAATTCACAAAAGCAGTAAATTGAGATTTGGCGTTTGAAGTTGGCGTTTGGCGTATAAATTTCATGCTTGAACTGCTACGAGGGCTTGTAGTCGTTAAAGCATGAAATTTATACGCCAAACGCCAACTTCAAACGCCAAATCTTAATTTACTGCTTTGGTAAATGGCATGACTAGTGGTTAATTTGCTTTCTTAAATCATTGCTAAAGAGCACAAGTTTAATAAGTTTAACATATTTCAAAACTGGTGTAAAAGCTATAATAATAGAGTTGTAAAATCAAAACTTCGGTAGCGGTTTGACGTTTGCCGTAAACGTCAATCTTAAGGTCTCTATTGGCGAGGGGCAGATATTTCGACCAAGTTTTGGCAAACATTTTGACCAACTTTTCAAAGGTCTGACTCCATCAAATTTGTGATGGAAAAACTGAATGCTTGTGTGGTGCTTTTTTATAAGGTGAAAACACTTCTTTTTCTTGGCGCTTTTAGTACTACTATAATTAGTTGACAATGTAAAGCAACAACTGACAAACTAATTTGACCAAATATTTTTCATTTTGACCAACTTCTTAAACTAAAAAAATATTGGGAGGGGGAGTTGCACCCCCCTCGCCCACGACGTCCCTCCATCTCTTATTTAACTGCAGCTTCGCCGCTATCAGCTACTCAGTGAAATTCTCGCATTTTTCTTTCAGGCCCGCAATATCATGTTACGAGATCGAGAAGAAGGGGAGGATGTTATTACTGGTTTGAAACGCAAGACTTTCTTTGGAAGACCACAATGGGACGGTATTTTTAGTAAGATTGCTGAATCTAATCCAAGGTAAGACGCAAGTAGATATATCGATTACATTGACCACCTTGAAATGGTCGTGAACTTATCACGACCAAATAAAAATGATGAAAACGAGAGGATTAATGATGAAAACGAGAAGATTAATGAGTAATATTCTCTTAAAGCTGGAGTAATACGAGCAACAAAATTGCTGCAACTTGCAACAAAATCTGATTTCAACACATGTTACGTAGAAATGTTGACACATGTTGCTTCGTGATTTGTAACTTATGTGTAAACATTTTCAATTAACATGCGTAGAAATCAGATTTTGTTGGAAGTTGCAGCAATTTTGTTGCTCGTATTACTCCACCTTAACATAATTTTTTTCTTCTAATTCTAGCACTGATATTGGCGTATTTTTTTGTGGTCCATCTGGGTTGTCCCACACCTTACGAAACATGAGCAATAAGTACAGCAATACAAAGGAAGGAATACGCTTTTATTACAACAAGGAAAACTTTTAGCTCAAGGATTACAACACTATGACGAAATTGCTTTGAAATGTGAATATAATTATCAAGTGATGCTTTTCTTGTAGATTTGTAGTGATGAACTAGTTAGGAGACTAAAATAGTATTTTTAACAATATTTTGGATAATTGTAATTTGATGTAATTATTTTTTAATAACGACCCAGATTTTGTAAAGAATGTATATAATAATAATCGATTTTTATACAACTTGAGAGCCTGTTCGCAGGCTAATTTTTAGATTGTGTCTTTGTTCGGAATTGTGTTCGGGTCCCGTCGTAAAGCGATCGGGATTTTATTTTCGCTGCGTGGTTGCCATGGTGAACCAATATGGCGACCAAATATGAAGGTGAAATTGACTTTGGTTGATTTAAAATGCCACCAAAGAAGAAAGATGGGGGAGGAAAGAAAGGAAAGAAGTCTGAAAAGAATAAAGGAGAGAAACAGCCCCAGCTCACAGCTAGAGAAGCTGTTTTAGCCTTCCAGTAAGTATTTTAAAGTTGCTTCTATCACTACTGTTTTTCATTTTTTAATAATCCGTTCAGTGGCGACTCCTAATGTCCAATTGCTTATATTGTAGAATTGAAGTCAGGGAACGGGACTTGGCAAAAATGACAGAGGAATTTCGTGTACTGAAAGAAAAAAATCGCAGACTTCGTCACAGAGTATGTTGTATTGTTACTATTAATTGCATGTATTGGCAGTACGGTAAATGGGCAATGGATTTGGACCCCAAAGACATATCGGAAATAAAATTTTTTTTGAATGTTTTTTTCATGGGTTTTTTGCTGCGCGATTTTCAGTAGAGTCCCGACATCAATATTAACTAGAGATGCGTAGTTCCTACGGACGAATTTAGGCAATTTGGTTCAATAATTAGTGTGACAACAGATGCCATTTTGGCACGCTGTATGAGCAGCCCGCAACCACCTGGAGAAAATAGGGTCACACGGTCAATCGTGTTGAAAAAAATTATAGGGTCAGCAGAACAGATGGGGTTGGTCGGGAAACCGGAACCACAGGTATTTTTTTAGGCCTAGCGCTATCACTTCTTGACTGTTGTCCCAAGAGATCCAGTAGGCTATCCTGTATTAGTTCAGTGATAGGACAGGAGAAAATCCAAATATCTGGAGATTTGACATCTTGAGGGAAGGCCCTTTGTCTGGAAAGTTAGTAGTTAGTTATCTACTAAATTCCTGATGAAGGGCCTTTGCTCAAAACATGGAAGTTTGGCTTGTATTTTTCTTGTATTGTAGTTGGATCTCTGTCAATCTACAACTTTCCTTTTAGAATGAACAACTCAAGAAAGAGCAACAGGAGCATATCAAGATGTTGTTAAAGCAATCGAAAGAAAGTGAAAAAGAAGTTGAGCAAATAACTGTCGTTAAACAAGAGGAAGTAGAAAAAGGGTTGGCGGATAAAATAAGAATCATGAGAGAACTGATAGTCGAACAGGATGGTATGGTATTCATAAATATATGGGAGGAAGGGGTTACAAAACTGTACAATTGCTCATTTTTAAATGCAAACTGCCGGACCAAAAAAATTAAATATTGGGGGGGAAGAGGGTTGTGCCTGCCCCACCCCCTTTTGCCCCCATCTCATATGCATATGATGTTATACTCTTAGTAATGCAAATATTTCTTGACTTTTGTGGCGGCATTTCAGAAGAATCAGATGTGGTGACAATCTGCACCCTCCTCGCTTGAGTTGAAGTATCATATAAAATATGTAACCCAATAAAATTCAGGAAACAGCATTCAAGTTATTATGAGCATTTTAATAACTTTCCGTGGATGATACCCCAGTATGTGACTATTGACTTGCAAAGTTGATAAGCCTGTAGAATTTTTTAGTGATAGTAAATAGTGTTGTTCACTATATATGTTCATTTTTTCTATATATAGAGATTAAGAAGCAAATTGAAGAGTTGGTGATGCAAATAGAAGAGACAAATCAGACTATTGCAACAAGAAATAATTATAAAGTAATGTCAAGTTTTGAGTTATGAGAAAATAATATTGTATTCTTTTCATAATTATATTCTTTTCATTAGAGGCGTACCCCACTTTTCATCAGGACAAATTTTGTAATTCTTTCAAAACAATCTACCAAATCTGTGACTTTCAGATTATTATAAAAAATTTGTCTAAGATGCATGAAATAGCATTTTGCAGACCCTGATAATAAAATATTTCCTGCGGGATTAGGCAATTTGACTCCCCCCCAACTTATTTGGGGGGGGGGGAGTCAAATTGCCTAATCAACCAACCCCCCACCCCCACCCCAACTCATTAGTGCCAATAAATATTCCTCTTTTCAGAATGAAGGCCAGGTTGTGCATGGCCATCAGATCAGTGTGCTTAGGAAGAAACTGTCAGATATGGAAAGTTCATTTCAAGAAGTTTCAGCTCACTTAGATCGTAGTCTGAAAATTGCTAAAGTAGAAATTGAACAGCAAGCACAATCTACTCTGACGACACAAAAGAAAGTCGCATCAGAGGAGGCTGCAAATTCCATCAATAAAGATGACAGACAAGAGATAGCGGATCACAAATGGCTTAAGAAAGAGGTATGTGTCTCTGAAAAAATTTGCATCTGTAAATTCTAAGATTCGAAGGATTTGTAAGATATTTAAGGAATTTAGCATAGGTAAATTCTATTCAAAGTTTTGAAGAATTTGTAAGAAATGTTTGAGGGAAATGACTCGTTCAACACTGAGCTAGTTTCCTCAAACAGTTCTTACAAATCCTTCAAAACTTAGAATTTCCTATGCAAAATTCCTACTGTGATCACAGAAACTTTGATAGTGCAAACCAGCTTTAGGTAGTCAGAAAAGTTATTTGTAAACAATTTGTGTCATTTTCTCTTTAATCCAAATAATAGATCAGTATCCACGCAACAGCTTTTGAAGATATGTCGGTAATCGTTGAAGCTTTAGAAAGAGAAAATCTTGACATTATGAAAGAGCTTTTTGACTGTAAGGTTGAGGATTTGAGTTTAGCAAGGTATGGGTTTACACATTGGTTTTACAAGTTCGATTTCTGTCAACGTCTCGATGAATTTCTGTTTTCTGAAAATGACTGTAGTTTTTCATTCTTTGAAGATGATTCTGTAAAGGAATGGATGATTCCAGCTAGACACTAAATTTTGATCCAGGCAAGAAGAACAAAATCCATCACTACAGCTAGAAAGAGCATGTCGAAATGAGTAAAATTGCAAAATTTGGTTGCGAAATGTTGTAAAATGCGGAAAATATAGCCCTGCGAAATTTGCAAATTTTGTATTAATTTGTATTACACACGGGAATTTGCACCACATTCGGCCCAAATGTGGTGCATTTTCCCACGCGTAATAGAAAATAATACAAAATTTGCAAATTTCGCAGGGCTACATTTTCCGTATTTTACAACATTTCGCAACTTTGCAATTTTACTAATTTTAACATGCTCTTCCTAGCTGTGGTGATGGATTTTGTTCTTCTTGCCTAGATCAAAATTTAGTGTATAGCTGGAATTGCCCATTGAAACACTGCATTATATTACAAGACAAGAAAGCTTCGGATCAGGATAGGGATGAAACTATCTGAAAAATACAAGGAGAACTTCGACGTTTCGAGCGAACAGAACAAAACTTGAAAGTCCTTGAATGTCCTTGAATTTGAAAACAAAAATTAAAGGCCTTGAATTTGTAAAGAAGTACCGCTGAAAGTCCTTGAATCCTTCTTGCTTTAGTTTATGGATATTTTCTGTTTATAGGGATATTTGACATTCAAAAACGGACATTTTGTTGAAATGATTTTACATGATCATATCAGACAAAGCTGTTTGAAATTCACTAAAGTTGCGTTTTGAACAATTTAACGTGACATTATAAACTGATTTCTAACGTCTTCTTTTCAGTATTTAGTCCTTGAATTTGCTGATACATAATCTTCAATGTCCTTGAAAAGTCCTTGAATTTGACTCTCTCTGACATGTATGAACCCTGGTTCGTGTTATCCGTATTATTTTGAGTCGAAACTGAAAATATTTTTTGTTATTTTTTTCATTCAAGAAATTTCTACTTGACCTGTGTGAACGACAAGGACAATAACTCGGATGAAGAAGAAGTCTACGCACTTCATGGTGAAGTCAGTGGCGACGAATTTCCTCCAGACGATAAATTGTTTGAAAATTATTTCAATTTTGACGATGAAGATTATTTGGTGAGAGAGCTTAAAATCTATACAAGAATTATTCTACTGGTGGTCAAGCTGCCGTTATCAGTGTTGGAAAATGGGGGCGGGGGTTAATTGAATTCTTTTTATCATCTCATTCTTAAGAACTTCTGAAATGATATAATAACTTACAGTATTTTGAAGATTTTCGTTTGCTCACGTTGTTTCTGAGATATTTGAGTTTGTTTGGTATACAAATTCCGAATTTACGTCACAAATGCATAATGATTTAAAGTATCACTATCGAGTTTAATTCATTAAAATGAAGTTTGGAGTTGTGGGAGGATTATATACACCTATGTAAAACATCATTTAGCTTTTTTATTTCATGATATTTAACTGTATACCTTGCATTCTTTGATCAGTCATTATTCATATGTGACGTAAATTCCGGACATTTGCAAATCAATAAAACTGAAATAACTCAGAGACAAAGTGTGCAAATGAAAATCTTCAAAATTCGTTACAATATCATTTCAAGTTCTTAGGAATGAGATGTTAGAAGAATTGAGAGATGTTGTTTAATTTTCTTGTTGAATTTGCTTGCACCTGTATTTCTGAAGTTGACGACTATCTGCTCCTATATCGCGTATTGAAACACACAAATCGAGAATGTTTTTTTTACTCAACCAGTCAGTATAGAAATTATTGCATTTCATTTATTTTTCCAGGATTCTCCTAGATTAGGACCAATGGACTTACAGCTGTTGGCTGTCGTTGGCAATAAGATGCCAATTCACGAGAGTACGAGCTCACAGCTACAGCTGATCAGCGCAAACAATGAAGCCGGTGGTCAGAACTTGGATAAAACTGATAGTGAAAATGAAATATGGCCGATTTCAGAAAACATGTTGCGAACGCTTGCTATAAAGTAATAAATTATTTATCTTCGCTTTTTGTGGCTCCTCAGCGCATTTTTTCATCATTTCGGTCCAGAGTAAACAAGCGATGATATATACGTGCAGGTAAAGTATTAAAATTTATAGTTAACAAGTCAACAACAACAACAACAACAGCAGCACACATTTACGCTTAGCGTACCTATTTTTTCATATGATATAATTAATTCTTATTCTTCGGATTATTCCGCTCAAACATCGTGCAATCTTCGCCACTTTCGTGCTTGGCTTGTTTTAATTGTTTTTCAAAGGCAATATCTCGAAAAAAACCTCCCTGTTGTGGAAAATGGATTGTACTTTTTTATTTACTTTGATTTTATTTATTTGGGGAAATATTCAATCGAAAAACATTGCTATTAGCTTTGCGAACATGAACCGGCCACTTTATTCGATCTGATTGGTCGACAGCAATCTGTTTGCGTTTTGATTGGTTGATGGAATTGTGGCGCGAATATTGAAACCTATTTGCAAAGTTTTTTGAGATCTATTCTTTAGCAAGGGAAAAATTTCGCTTTGATTGAGTTTTTTACCGCTGTATTCCAGTTTTTACACCTTTGAAGAAAGAAACATGAGCGTGGCAACGTATTTTACCAACATTTCAAACGTTTCAGATCGCCAAAAGCGATTTTTTTGCGATCTTGGTGAAGAAAACTTGCCTGTCTGGTCAAAATATCACTTTGATGTGAGCTCATCTCAAGATTCGAACAGCTCCGTTAATTCATCAAATTCGTCGAAAAGGTTAGTAATGTTTTGCAGTTGATATCGTAATTTTAACAGATCGCTATTTCAAGTGAATTAGTTTAGTTTTTTGATGCATTTTGTTTGACTATAAAGAATAGGCTGTGAAAAGTTCGAAAAACACAAGTATGTATATTAAAAACTTTTAGTTTAAGACAATGGCTTTTTTTGGCTGTAAATAGTTTTAAAAGCAATGTTCTTTTTATTTTAAGATGTGTTCGAAATCTTTTGAAGCTATTGTCCTGTCAGTTTATAAATTTTGGCCTTTTTCAAAAAAATCTTTAAAAATGTCGATCCGACAAATTTAGTCTAAAAAGAACAGTGGAACTGTATATATTAGCTGAACTGCGATATGCAAATCAATTCGATAAACATACGGACAGTCGCATTTCAATATTAAATAAGTAATATTGGTTTCATCTTTGCTTGGAAATGTGTAGTGATTCGTTGGATATCAAGCCATTGAAGCCTCGCAATGCTAACACCGACCCGAGATATTTGCTTCAAACTCCGAAAAAAGTATTAAAATCGTGTTCCCCGGCTGATCAAAAACGCATAACACCCAGAAAACCTTTGAAACCTACGAAAAGTGCGAACAAAACCGACCCATCGTTTCGTGGAGTTACCTTACAAATGAAAACAAACATCAAACGTAGTCAAAACGACTTGGAGACGCAGTTGGTTATCAGGTCTTACTTCACTGCGAAAAAGAAGCGTTCCCCGTCTAACAAAAAAGTTGAAAAACCCCGTCGTCCTATCGGAGGGAAGGCCAGACTTCTCCCCACCTCCCTAGAGATGCGTTTTCAGCAAACACCCGTTTCCCTAAATTACTCAGAAGAGCTCAAAGAGAATTTTGGTGATCTTGGTTGCAAACCATTACGTGTGGTGAAATTGAAAAAAGAATGCGCGTCGTGTGGTACCCTCAAAACGCCTCTCTGGCGAGATGCTGAGGACGGCACACCATTATGCAATGCTTGTGGTATCCGCTATAAAAAATACAGAGTTCGTTGTCTAAGATGTTGGTATATCCCCAGAAAGGAAGAGAAAGCTTCGTCCCGGTGTACTAGCTGTGGTAGCTTTTTTGATAAGATTCCTCTCAAGCATCGCGGTGTATTTGGTAGTATTTAGGTTTTCATAGATCTTGACAGTAATTTGATATGGTTCGCGATCGACAGTTTGTTTAAATAGTACATATATGGTGAAATATATATGAAAATTATTGAATATTTAATTTATTGCTCTTTCGAGCCATAATATATTTATATTTGCTAATTATTACGATTTATTTGTAATTGTAATAAACGCGATAGCTACTTACTGTACAGTATAAAATTAACTCGAGTGTTTGTATCTTCAGTTCAGCATGTACTTTGTTTAATATAAGAATGTAAGCTGTTTGCTCGAAATAGTAGTAAGATGGGCATTTTTCACAAACATGAGCACAAAAATAACTATTAAATTAATGCCAGATTAATAGAATGCTTTATACCAAATCAGTTTAGAAGAACATCGGTTTTTCTCTGCCTCTGGACGAGCAGCTTACATAAAAATTGGTTTAGATAAGGTTAATAGTAATTAGATGACACTCGTAGTTCCAGGCATATATTATTGTTAGTTGTGTTAAAAAATATCTAACATTGGAGAAACGTTTTTGCAAAGTTCTGTAAAAAGATCTTTATACATTTTCAATCAGTATGTTATATAACATCTCTAAATCTAATGTTTACATAAATACAAAAAAATAAATTGTCTTAGTTTCACTGTATTGCTGTCTTCTCTATGGAGTAGGAATCTTCCACCTCTTAGATTCCATTCAAGTTTTCAGAAAAAAAGCATGAAACCTTCAAACATTTTATGCTACAATTTATTTACTCTATACAAAAAATACATTTGTTCATTAATTAAATACAAGTGTTTCAAAATCCTTAATATTAAACTAAAATACAAGTTTGTTAAAATGTGTTCACAAAAAAGAACGAAACTTTTTGACAACACTTCTGTAATTGTCACTATTATATTACCAATATTATTACAATTTGAACGTTCAGTCGTCATCCTATAAATTGTGAAACAGTACATTGTTAGTAACCGGTTGCTGACTGGATTTCAATTAATTGAAACATTAACTATTCTTTCTCGTAAAAATGAATATATTGTCAGAAATAAAGATCTCAACAACCTGTTCACATGCAGAAAGTATAAGGGTGACGTTATGTTAAAGCCGTGTTGATGGTAATAGAAAGTTTACGGTAAAGAAAAGATAGAATTAAGAATAGTTGCACAAAAACAAAATAGACTATTCAAAAAGAAGGTAAAGTAATAGTATAAGACCTGTAATGGAAAGTATCACAGTGTAATGAGAAAAGGTGAAGGATGGCAGTTGACAGTATAACTATACGTAAACCAAAAGTGGATGTTTTTATGTCGCTATTTTTATTACAGACACACGTTTTGTTTCGTATTGGAATATATTTTATTCATGTTGGTAATTTCTTATAAATACTGTTTACATTTTATCCATACATGTAATCATTTCATAATTATTTGTGGGTTTTCTCTGACTCTGACATGAAAATGTTTTATGTCATATTCGCGTGAACTTAACGAACCTCTCCAGCGCTCATTTCTGCTGATCTTGGTGTTCCCTTCTTTAGCCGTAGTTCAATATTCCTGAATAGAACAAAGGAAAGTATATCTAATGTCTGCATTAAAAGGGAAGATCTATTAATGCACTGAATGTTCATTTTCACCTTTTCTTGTTTTTCCTTTTCTTGTGAGATGCTTTAAGAAAAAAAATTCTAAGATTTAATGTCCTTTTTATGAATATAATATCTTTAGAATGGACCTAATCAAATGTTCATGTACACTACTGTACCTTTGTGTACTTTTCCAATATGGTTGTGTTGCAATGCCAATGGTTCCATGTTTGCTGCGGTTTCTCCTAAAAAGGAACATGTATTCAATCAGTGAAAGTAGCCTAGGCTATTAGCTTTGCAGATACTCATTTCATTTAATCATGAGAACCAGAAAACATTTACATATCTTATTTCTACACTTTACAAACTTTAAAATATATGCATCCAACAAAAACAAATTTTCTTGAGTAACCTCCTCCCCCAGCACCTATCTACAAAAATCATAGACATTGTGACATTATTTTCTACTTACTCAGCACTCGTTCTGGTTCAGGGTCAGCCATCCCACCTCTTTGAACAGCCTATGAATACACAAAAAAATTAAAATTTTCTGGTGTTAGACAGAGTAAAATATTAAAGTAAGGGTAGATTAGGGTGCAATGCAACTTAATGGGATTGAAAAACATTCTGTTACTTACTGCATGAGATGTGATTGATGATTTCGAAAACAACCTCTCTGCATCTTTAAATTTTCTGTGCTTTCTTTCCAATTTTGTTGATGTGCTCCTGTTATTTCAAAGTGTCAGAAAATATAGTTGGGAATTAAGATGAAAGGGTGGTGAGATTAAATTGCCATCGCCAAACATGACATTTCCTGTTTTACTATGGCAGAAAAGTGAATCATACAGTGTTACTTCGTAACAACACTCACTTATTCGTCATAAGTCTGTCCCATCCTCGAATAATATTGCCATATTGCTGAGTATCTTCCAAATAGCTTCCTTCAAATGCATAAATTTGCCTTTCTAAATTGGCCAAACCTTCCTAGGGATAAATATTATACAGGTTTTAACCTCCAGATATTCACCCTCCATAATTATCCCTTCCCCCTCTTTTAACTGGAGAGGCCACGCCCTATGATGTCATAAAATACAACCAAACTGCATAGCAGTATGATGTTGATTATATAAAACAATTTTAACATTCAGATATTAATATATATATTTTCCATTAACCTTGAAGTCTGAAGAAATCATATGTCTGTTTTGTTGTCAAATAATTTTAATACTTCCTGTCAAAATTACTTTTATATTAAATTCTAAAATAGTAAAATTCATTACAAAATACTTTGTATTTTCTCACCCAATCAAGTAATTATTGCAGATAGTTTGCAGTGAAGACGATTATTTTATAAAACAAAAATATGTGAATCTCTTTACGGCCTTAATTTTCTCGAACGTTTTCTGGTATTTTAACAAAACAAAATGGCCGCCCAATCAGTTTAGGAATTTTACGATAATACCACATTTTTAAACGCACTGACCACTTAAAAACTACTATCAACTAAAGATGAAAAACGTTTGATAAATTCCCAGTTTTTCAGGCAACTTACAGCGAGTGCTTGGCGTCTTTTAACTAAATCCGCCAGTTCCTGTCTCGTATCTGGCGCTTTCGCAGCGGTCGCCATCTTGGAAGAGAATTTTGTCTTTTCAGAGAACTGGAACCCAACGACCTTCGGGAGGCGCTCGGAAATTGTCGAAAAGCAATCGGGTTTTGGATTTTATGCAAATGTTTTATGTTTTAGCCTCGTTTCCGTGATTGAGAATTTTTAATTTAATCTCAAATTTTGTCTCAAAAATTGAATATTAATTTATAGTGTTTGCTAAGCGCCAAAGATTAAATACAGCACTACAGGGAATAGTTTAATTTTACTTGTATTATAATGAAAATTTTAAGTTTTATTGCGCTTTGCTTTCAAGATTAAAAATTAGATTTAAAGCATATAGGGAAAAATACAAAATTAAAACCTTTTCATCTAAAATTGCCACCAATTTTTCGCACATTAATATATTTATGCGCACGTAGAGTTAGCATTTCATATGTTTACACAACTGATTATGTGACGAACATCAATAAAGCAGTATTTATCAAGATAATTTTTGAACCGGGACGCGACTGTTTATGAGCAATTACTCTTGATGACCTCTCGTCGATTTGAAATAATTTTAATATTGTGGGATATCTGCTATGATTCTGCCGATACAAGCAATTTTAAGTTTTAACCATCTATTTCAAACCAAATCTTTTGCACATCAGTTTAGGTCCTAAATACATTGTTCCAAAAAGTATTCAGCCTTGGCTATAGACTCTCGTTTTCGTGATTTGAGATATTGAATTTAGGGCCCTTTATCTTCTGACATATTTACGAAATCATACAGTTATATCATGGTCTAAAATAATTAGATGATCAGTAACAACATATAGGGCTCCAAAACCGACAGCAGTCAATCATAAAAACGAGTCTAAAGCCTACTAGCCAACGCTAAGTATTTTCTGGAAGGGTCTATACTGATAAGCGCTAGATTCATGACTGTGATTCATGTTAGATGCAACATAGGCGTACGGGAAGGAAAAAATTAGAGGGGGGGAGAAATTTACCCGACTTTTTTCCATTGTCAAAAAAATTTTCCGTGCAAACTTTCCACAATTGTTGTCGACCGGGGCGGGGGCAGTTTGACGACGAAAATAATTTTGGAAGGTATTATAATTTATTATAACTTTGATATTTTTCCTCCATTTTGGACTATTGTATTTTCCCCCAATATTGAGAGAATTTCTTCTATTTGCAGTTTATATTAAGCCAATATTGCCCGACTGTGAAGCGGCGAATATTGCCCTACTGGCCTAGTCTGCCCAACAGTCTGCAGCTGCCCCTGCCCCGTACGCCTATGAGATGCAATACTGTGAGACGGCACAGGGAAAGCAAGTCTATATTCAATATCCCCAAAGTAACAGCCACTATCGGTCTTTAAAACCATTAACATCTACCATATAATAATTGGATGTAGTAAAATATTAAAAAGATGAAGCCGCAGTCTCAGTTATGAAAGTGAAAACGTATAGGAGTAGACTAGTATGAAGTAATAAAATGTGGGAAAATAAAATTGTGAAATATTATAAAAGATTCCTGCCGAAAGGTCTAAAATGGCATTTTTGGCAACTGCTGATCACGGTCAGGTCAAAAATTGTATATAATTTTTTGTTGGAAAATTCATTCTGCTACTGAAAAACCCATATTCGGGCTACAGTAACCGTCGTTGTTTGTCTTTAAGCCACCTTTTAGTCTTTCCAATAGGTAAAAGATCAACCAATCTTACGGTTTATATTTTATCTTGAGAGTCTTCGCTCGAAAAGTCGAAGTTCTCCTTGTATTTTACTAGTTACATCCCTATTAGTCCGAAGTTCTTATTGTTGGCAGGACCTAAATGGCGCAGACACGTTTAAGATTATATACAAAACAAGCATGCATATATGCTTATAATTATCATGCACCGATATTACTTTTGTCACTGTTGCAATTTCCTCGCATTAATGCTTCAGCTTGAGATTAATTTTAAAAGCGAAATACCAAACTTCAAATAATTCACAGGTGAATCTAATGTATTATTATTATTGAAATCAATATACGTTTTATTATTGCAAAAATAATAAAGACCTGTTGGCTATTTTTGGCGTCGTTTTTTTGCATAATTGGATACCGTAGTTAGTCTTTTCAGTTTGTGAATGCACATTGGTTCGCTATAGCTAGTTGTGTTTGCACTTCGATAATTGCCGCGTAGTGTCAGCTGCTCAATATATGATCATAAATATTTGTTAAAATTTGGCAAGAAATGGACAAGTCAAGTTGATGTGATTTTGAATTAAATTGAGTGAAACTGCAGCACTGTGTAACGGTTGGCGAAGACGATATATTCATATAAGAATAAACGACATTTTTAATTTAAAAGACAACACGTGGAGCATACATCTTAAACAGCAGTTTAATTATCACGCCCACTGACTAGGCAACAACTTATTGGACAGTTGTGTTAGTTCAGTTCTTCACACAAACAGGGATTCATGCAGCAACCGTTAGTCGAATTTGCATCAAAAGTATTCTCTGAACTATCTCGTGGTGTTAGAACTATTGTCACTACGGAGAGAAGAATAGGAAAACACCTTTCTGAAAACTTGGATTTTGCGAGGAATTTCATTCAAGAGTTCTTCACTCCAGGCAGTAAAAAAGTTGAGACTTCAAAAGACTTCGGCAGAGACTCCAAAGACTTCAGTAGAGTGCGAATTTGTTTACGGTTTTACACCGAAAAAAGGAAAAAAGAAGAAGACCTTTCTGAATAGTAAACCCGTTCGTGAGAAATCTTCACGCAAGTTTCTCCGTGGCAGCAAATTAAGAATTTTGTTCTTGAGATTTTATTACTTGAAGATCTAGGACTTCAGTAATACGAGTTCAATACTTCAAATTTTCCGTGGCTCAAGCAGCTGTTTAGCAAACCCGAGAGAGTGAAGACACAGAGAATTTCGAACAGATCAAGTTGCTTTGTCAAGGTAAAGTAGTACGGCCAAGCCATGCATGACACACGCAATCTATCAGAGCCACCAGTAGATCAAACATTAGTGGACACAATATTTCAAGCTACTACTATGTCGATAATAATTTTCCTTTCTGTATTTTGTAACGCTCTTGTTCTAATCTGCTTCTATCGCCATCGCTCCTTACAAACTTTCACGAACGCGTTTGTAGTGAACCTCGCTTGTGCTGACTTTTGTTTCGGCTTGATGGCGATGCCTTTGACTCTAGTAACTTCAGTGACGATTGATTGGGTTTTTACTGACTCATTGTGTAAATTCCATGGATTTGCGCTAATATTATTTAGCGAGACGTCGATATGGACTTTAACCTTTGTCAGTTTTGAGCGTTATCTATCTATAAGGCATCCATTTCATCATCAACGATGGGTCACGCCGACAATCGTAGCAGGAGCAATTGGGACGGTTTGGGCAGTGTCCATTACATTTGCCCTACTACCGTTTGGGATATCCGAATTTACTTTCTATCGATTTAATCATATCTGTATAGCAGATTGGAGAATAAGTTTCCATACTACTCTAGCCTACTGTGTTGGCTCTATTTTCGTTCCGTTCACGCTCATGGTGATTTCAAATGTTGGCATTTTAAAAACGGCTCTGGAACAAAATCGTAAGGTAGATGTAAAAGTCGGAAACATTCGGAAAATGACGATTCGGCCTAGCGAAGCACAACAGATTGATGCAGTACAGTTAGAAGTTGAAAGAAGAGCGGCTGCAAAGGCCAAAGCTCGCAAAAAGAAAGAAAAACGGGCAACCATTTTAGTTCTGGCCATTGTCGGAGGTTTTGGTGTCTGCTGGATGCCTTATACAGTCACCACCATGTGTTTAATGATAAGAAGTCACGAGTGCTTGTGGCCTTCAAGGATTTTTGTGGCCAGCGCTTGGTTAACTAATCTTAACAGTGGGCTAAATCCCATCCTCTATATTGTGTTTAACGTCGCTTTCCGACGAGCAATTAAACAATTACTCGGAATCAGTCGGAGGAATGGATTGGAAGTTAGTGATGGAGGAACTTTTGTTACCACTGTGGCGCCGCTTAATCGAAGCCCAGAAAGTTCGTAGGAAACTATTAATATTCATTCACACTTGAGAGTTAGGGTTCCCAAAGCGATAGATGGTAGTCTACTTCCACAGAAATGCTCGCACTTAGAGAAGGAAGAGAATTAAACTACATCCCTCAATTCTATTTATTTGCTGCCAAATACAAGACTACTACATAGAATGAGAAGAATTGACATTATTTTCTCACTCTGATAACTGCAGGTTGACCACCATCTGTTGCACGATAGTGTTTGGTAAAACAACTCTATATTTATAGAAAGGTGTTTATTGGATTGCAACGGTAATTGGATCGTTAGAGATGAGGTAATCACAGCAACAAAATTTCGAATTCTACAACTTGTTGCAAATTGTTCTCTCGCTAATAACTCTAAAATACTTTGGCTAATGTCGCGTCACCGACATTCACACTCTAAACTAAAAAGATAAATTAATCTGACAATTACTACGGCTAATAGTAATATGCAATGTTATATAACAGCTGCTTTTTGAGCGCTTTCATCATATTAGAAATAACATCCCTGATTGTCCAGTGAATAATGGCTTACCGTATTTACGGTTTGAGGGCCGTTCTTTAAATTTTCAGAGCTTCAGATGCGGCGCTCATCGGGGGCGGCGCTCTTTAAAAAGATCTTTTATTTGTGAATTATAACAAGAACTTTTAACAATAAAATAAACAAGTTTTAAATGTTTTTGTCACTAAATGTCTCCATTTTGACGGCGGAAAAATAACACTGTTTAAAAGTTTACAAATTATCAATGTCACTTTCCTCTTCTTCATAATCCGAGTCCAACTGCTGCCAACTGCTGAGGTTGATTTACGATTTGTGGTTGTTTTATATTAGCGTCTTCAACGATTCTGATCTCAAATGCGGCGCTCATTAATATTCGGGTGCGGCACTCAATCGAGTAAATACGGTATACGCTATCCAGTTCAATTCAAAGATCAGTGATTTTCGCGAGCGAACGGCGACCCGCGAAAAGTTTTCGAAAAACCTTGCTGTCGAAAAAAACTTCGAAATGCAAGAGATATTTTACTTTAAATTTAAAGCAATTTCGACCTGTTTATGGCTGTTAAAAAGCCTATAAACTAAACAGGGAGATAGTCGTATATACGAAATAAAATTTAACAGCGAAGTAAATGGATTTGGGGCAAGAACATTTTGGGAAAAGTTTACATGACAATTTTGGTGACTTCAAACACGTGAGCTTCGAACTAGTCACCACATGTAAGTACAATTTTGTTTTATGAAAGAATATTTCATGTTTTCTTCCGAAATAGTTGCGATGAAAGTACGTATAGTTTTTGTTGACCTTTGTTTAGTTCTTATAATTTTAGTTTAAGTCAAGAGAGGGTGTTCTTACGTCATTTAATTTAGGTGGTTTTTGTGCCAATTTAAAAGGGCCCTACTGTCATTTTAAACGCGCGAAACCAAAGCAATATGGCTTCCATCGAAGAGTATAGCGATAGTGACCGGGTGCTTGTTTGCGCTTCACAACGAGAAATGCTTGAAAAATTTGAAGAGTACAAAATAAAAACAAATAGTGGTTGGAGATGTATCAAATCAAACGCACTTTTTGGTATGTGAACTAATTTCAATATGTAAATTTGTCTTATAAATATTCACACCAATACTGTGTGTGCAATATTTATGAACAATCCAAATTATGCGTAAATAATTTATATATAACCTTTATCCTATCAAGCCTCAATCTCGTACCCAGAGCAATGCCTGTGCACGGGCTAGGATGGCATTGGCTCTGGGGAAATTGAATTTTTCCTGTGCTGTGATTAGTTTAACGTTTAGCAATCGTGCACGCCGACAAAGAACCGGAACCCCTAAATTTAGGGGTTCCGGTTGTCAATTTCCCCAGAGCCAATGCCATCCTAGCCCGCGCACAGGCATTGCTCTGGGTACGAGATGTCTAGATTGATCAAGCCTTTGACACCCTAATCTGTTTTTAATGTTGTAAATATTAACTCATTAACTGGGAATGTGAATGTGCCCAAATATGCCCTACTTAGTATTTACTCTGTCTAACGCCAGATGATTAATTACTCATCAGTCGTAGAGGGCTGTCAGTAAATGGGTTAAAGTGAACATTTTACTAAAAATTTACTGTGTCTTCTGCTGCTGTTGGAAGTTCCTTTTCCTTGAACATTTTACTAAAATTTACTGTGTCTTTTGCTGCTGTTGGAAGTTCCTTTTCCTTGAACATTTTACTAAAAATTTACTGTGTTATTGTGCATAATTTCTAGGGAAAATATAAGAAAAATTCAAATTAACTCCAAATAGGTAATAAAAGTAAATATATATTTTGCTTTGCACTTACCTATTTATCTATATAATATTTTCTTGTTTAATACAACCTTTAAATCCTCCATTTGTAATGATTTGTTTGTTTGTAATGCACCATTTGTAATGATGTGTTTATTGCGCGTTTATATAAAGTTTACTGCACTTGAAACACCGCTGACTTGTATGTATTGCAGTTTCAGATATGTACATATCTTGTCTATGATCTAATGCCAACCCAATTGTTTACATTTTTTGTTATTGTCGCTACTTGACATGCGCACTACGGCATGCATGCGTTTTCCGGTGTGCGGAAGTACTCATACTCATGGATACTACATGTAAGATACAGCCAAACGAATTTCCATGGAGTCCCCTACTTAAGGTGGCTTTTTGACTAAAAAGTGACTCCCCTTTAACTCTACAAAACTAAAGCTTTGTTGTCTTTTTTAAAACGTATTATTGGAGTATTGGCAAGTTTTGCAATTCAGAGATTTACAAAGTAATATTGAAACTGTAAAAAACAGTTTCATGTATACGCATATTCACTGATGAGTAATGACAACTTATAAGGCATACATTTTCCGACAACGACAAAATGCTTGTGTAGCCTTTAGTCGCTCTCAGTGACTAATAATTTTTTGGGAGGCAAATTTGCCCCTCGGCCCCCCCCAGCCCGGAGCCGCCACTGCCTGTTACATTTTATACCGTTTTTTCAAAGATAGGCAAAGCAAGTAAAGGTTAGCCTTTTATGTTTTCGTAAGAGTACAGTTTTATGGTTTGAAAAATGATGCAAAGATTGCCATAAAAGTTGAAAAAGAGGGGAAATGGGGAAAAAGAAAAGTTCATCCATTTTTTAAAGTGGAGCTATATTTGCGTGCAAAAAAGTAAAGGGTCAGGCCTTGAATTTTTGGCGACTTCATTTTTTAAAATAAAATTTGGTGATGAAGGATTATGTAGATATAAGTATAGTTTAATACCACCACAGAATAGATCTGCTAGTCGAGTGGTAGTCTCCTGGTTTTGCATGAGGAAGAAGTACGGATCGATCCCTGCTGTAGTTGAAACCGTTTTAATTAATTCCACCCGAGACGAGAAAGAGTTAAGTAGAATAAAAAAGGAGTTAAAGCAAGTGTAGGCGAGGTGGTCTAGTGGTAAAAACAAAGTGTTGCAAGGGCGTAAAGCTAGGATCGATTCGTGGTTGTGCCGAAAGCATTTTAATATCAGGCATCGTTGTTTATTAATTCCATCCGAGACGAGAAAGAGTTAAGTAGAATAAAAAAGGCGTTAAAGCAAGTGTAGGCGAGATGGTCTAGTGGTAAAAACAAAGTGTTGCAAGGGCGTAAAGCTAGGATCGATTTTGTGCCGAAAGCATTTTAATATCAGGCATCGTTGTTTATTAATTCCATCCGAGACGAGAAAGAGTTGATTTAAGTAGAATAAAAAAGGCGTTAAAACAAGTGTAGGCGAGATGGTCTAGCGGTAAAAACAAAGTGTTGCAAGGGCGTAAAGCTAGGATCGATTCCTAGTTGTGCCGAAAGCATTTTAATATCAGGCATCGTTGTTTATTAATTCCATCCGAGACGAGAAAGAGTTGATTTAAGTAGAATAAAAAAGGCGTTAAAGCAACTGTAGGCGAGATGGTCTAGTGGTAAAAACGAAGTGTTGCAAGTGCGTGAAGCCAGGATCGATTCCCGCTTCTGTCGAAAGCATTTTAATGTCAGGCATCGTTGTTTATTAATTCCATCGGAGACGAGAAAGAGTTAAGTAGAATAAAAAAGGAGTTAAAGCAAGTGTAGGCGAGATGGTCTAGTGGTAAAAATAAAGTGTTGCAAGGGCGTAAAGCCAGGATCGATTCCTGGTTGTGCCGAAAGCATTTTAATATCAGGCATCCTTGTTAATTAATTCCACCCGAGACGAGAAAGAGTTAAGTAGATAACAAAGGAGTATTAGAGCAAGTGTAGTCGAGGTGGTCTAACGATAAGGACGAAGTGTTGCACGTGTGAGAAGCTGGGTTCGATTCCTGGTTGTGTCGGAATCATTTTGGGCAGGGAAAGGTTCGAATATAATTCTATTAACTTTCACGTCTTGTTCGGCTATACATGCAGCTGTAAAAACCTGTTTTTTATCGTCTAATGATGCACGAGTAAGGGATCGACAGAAGGCATAGGACCGTAGATTCTAAAAATACAATTTTCAGTCTGGCCCAAATTCCAGTTTCCGCTGCAGAGGCCTTGAAATTCAATAGAACGCAAGGTTCGAAACCGCATAATATAAACTTTCACGTCTTTCTCGATTATGCACCTGGAATAACCTGCTTTGCATCTTAATGAACTGTCTTTTGATGCACGAGTAAGGCATCGATAGAAAGCTTATGGAACGGCGATTCTAAAAATACAATTTCCAGACCGTGCCAAATTCCAGTTTCTGCTGCAGAGGCCTTGAAATTCAATAGAACGCATGGTTCGAAACAGCCAAACCCTAACCCTCACTTATATAATATTAACTTTCACGTCTTTTTTGATTACACAGCTGGAAAAAAACTGCTTTTTATCTCCACGTCCGGCCTAGTGATGCACGAATGAGGCATCGACAGAAAGCTTATGGATCGTAGATTCCAAAAATACAATTTTCAGGCTAGTCCAAATTCGAGTCTCTGCTACAAGAGCCTTGAAAGTCGATAGAACATCAGGTTCAAAACCGCATAATATAAACTTTCACGTCTTTCTCGATTATGCACCTGGAATAACCTGCTTTGCATCTTAATGAACTGTCTTTTGATGCACAAGTAAGGCATCGATAGAAAGCTTATGGAACGGAGATTCTAAAAATACAATTTCCAGACCGTGCCAAATTCCAGTTTCTGCTGCAGAGGCCTTGAAATTCAATAGAACGCATGGTTCGAAACAGCCAAACCCTAACCCTCACTTATATAATATTAACTTTCACGTCTTTTTGGATTACACAGCTGGAAAAAACTGCTTTTTATCTCCACGTCCGGCCTAGTGATGCACGAATGAGGCATCGACAGAAAGCTTATGGATCGTAGATTCCAAAAATACTATTTTCAGGCTAGCCCAAATTCGAGTCTCTGCTACAAGGGCCTTGAAAGTCGATAGAACATCAGGTTCGAAACCGCATAATATAAACTTTCACGTCTTTCTCGATTATGCACCTGGAATAACCTGCTTTGCATCTTAATGAACTGTCTTTTGATGCACGAGTAAGGCATCGATAGAAAGCTTATGGAACGGAGATTCTAAAAATACAATTTCCAGACCGTGCCAAATTCCAGTTTCTTCTGCAGAGGCCTTGAAATTCAATAGAACGCATGGTTCGAAACAGCCAAACCCTAACCCTCACTTATATAATATTAACTTTCACGTCTTTTTGGATTACACAGCTGGAAAAAACTGCTTTTTATCTCCACGTCCGGCCTAGTGATGCACGATGAGGCATCGACAGAAAGCTTATGGATCGTAGATTCCAAAAATACAATTTCCAGGCTAGCCCAAATTCGAATCTCTGCTACAAGGGCCTTGAAAGTCGATAGAACATCAGGTTCGAAACCGCATAATATAAACTTTCACGTCTTTCTCGATTATGCACCTGGAATAACCTGCTTTGCATCTTAATGAACTGTCTTTTGATGCACGAGTAAGGCATCGATAGAAAGCTTATGGAACGGAGATTCTAAAAATACAATTTCCAGACCGTGCCAAATTCCAGTTTCTGCTGCAGAGGCCTTGAAATTCAATAGAACGCATGGTTCGAAACAGCCAAACCCTAACCCTCACTTATATAATATTAACTTTCACGTCTTTTTTGATTACACAGCTGGAAAAACTGCTTTTTATCTCCACGTCCGGCCTAGTGATGCACGAATGAGGTATCGACAGAAAGCTTATGGATCGTGGATTCCAAAAATACAATTCTCAGGCTAGCCCAAATTCGAGTCTCTGCTACAAGGGTCTTGAAAGTCGATAGAACATCAGGTTCGAAACCGCATGATATAAACTTTCACGTCTTTCTCGATTATGCACCTGGAATAACCTGCTTTGCATCTTAATGAACTGTCTTTTGATTCACGAGTAAGGCATCGATAGAAAGCTTATGGACCGGAGATTGTAAAAATACAATTTCCAGACCGTGACAAATTCCAGTTTCTGCTGCAGAGGCCTTGAAATTCAATAGAACGTATGGTTCGAAACAGCCAAACCCTAACCCTTACTTATGTAATATTAACTTTCACGTCTTTTTTGATTACACAGCTGGAAAAAACTGCTTTTTATCTCCACGTGCGGCCTACTGATGCACGAATGAGGCACCGACAGAAAGCTTATGGATCGAAGAGTTGAAAAATACAATTTTCAGGCTAGCCCAAATTCGAGTCTCTGCTACAAGGGCCTTGAAAGTCGATAGAACATCCGGTTCGAAACCGCATAATATTAACTTTCACGTCTTTTTCGATTATGCATCTGGAATAATCTGCTTGGTATCTTCATGAACTGTCTTTTGATGCACGAGTAAGCCAGGATCGATTTCTGTTTCTGTCGAAAGCATTTTAATATCAGGCATCGTTGTTTATTCATTCCATCCGAGACGAGAAAGAGTGAAGTAGAATAAAAAAGAAGTTAAAGCAAGTGTAGGCGAGATGGTCTAGTGGTAAAAACAAAGTGTTGCAGGGGCGTATAGCCAGGATCGATTCCTGGTTGTGCCGAAAGCATTTTAATATCAGGCATCGTTGTTTATTAATTCCATCCGAGAGAAGAAAGAGTTAAGTAGAATAAAAAAGGCGTTAAAGCAACTGTAGGCGAGATGGTCTAGTGGTAAAAACAAAGTGTTGAAAGTGCGTGAAGCCAGGATCGATTCCCGCTTCTGTCGAAAGCATTTTAGTGTCAGGCATCGTTGTTTATTAATTCCATCGGAGACGAGAAAGAGCGAAGTAGAATAAAAAATGAG